AAACAAAAACAAGAAACGGATATATATGATTATACTGGGTGCGTCTCAAAAGTGGCTCACCCAGATCAAAAAGAAACGAGATTTGGTATGTTAGTATATGACATAAATTAGGATTGATTGACGTATTCAGTTATTTTTGGTCACTTTCACCGGAAATGACTACAACTTTTGATTTTTAAATGGCACCCTCGGTATTTTTTTTTACTTTATTCGATAGAAAATGACATTCTGAATAGAATGTCATATCATATGTCAACTTTTGACATTCTCGCTTAATAAAAAATCGTATTTTAAAATTCAATCTAGAGTGCCATGGCTATGTTAAAAACGCTAATTCTTAATCAAGGAGCCATGGAAAAATAGATTTGATTGTCTAATGTTTTTAGTGTCTTGTCCTGGCCAGTTAGAAAATGCTCAAATCGTATTTTTAATCATATCTCAATTTTTTCAAATGGAACGAGGGTGGCTCATTAGCATATTTGGAAAAAGCATTTTTTACGAATAATTTGATACCACACACTTGGTATTTCGAGTCAAATTTTCGTTACGAACCGCAAGTTATAATTTCAAATAAATCATATGCGAAAATGTAAAAGTTGACATATGATATGTCATTCTATTCAAAGTGTTATTTTCTATCGAATAAAGTAAAAAAATACGGAGGGTGCCATTTAAAAATCAAAAGTTGTAATCATTTCCGGTGAAACAGGAAGTGACTGATAACAATTGAATACGTCAATCAATCATAATTTATGTCATATATTATGATACCAAATCTCGTTTCTTTAACTGAAAAAATAAAAAGTTATAGGGGTGAGCCACTTTTGAAACGCACCCGGTATGATGAATATTTAAAATAACAGGTTGCCATTACATTATTTGCCATTACCAATAAAAAAATGTATATATTATACGTTATTAATATTTAGAGTTTAAAATAGTGCGCGGGCAAGTAGCAGTAGACGAATCAGATCGTCTTCTTTGGTTTGGCGCACGAAAATCCTGTTGAACCAAAAGGATAGACTTATGTCAGATTGATATTCCTATTTCTTTTCTTTGGCTTCACTTTCCACTCATTGTGTAGATACGGTACTAGCCACGATATATTTAATAATAATAAATACTGTTTATGTATATCGTGGTACTAGCAATATATTCTTATAATATATTTGCGCTTACCGTTTTAGAGATCTCACTGGTGAGAGGCGAATTTGAAACAGCCTGTATTTAACTTTTTTAGCACTTCCACAATATATTTTTATAATAAAATGTATGTCAGATGACATCACTGTACACTGTACTGTAAATTGTAAATTCATTATCCGGAAAATTAAAATATCATAAATTCCGTTAACCTCCATAAACTCCATGTAATTAATAATACATAAACATTCTGTAAAGTTATTCGAGCGAAGATATTTGTTTACTGACCAAAATTCGAAGGCGCCTATTTAGCGGTGAAATTGAATTTCTTTTATTATCAATTTGTGAATCGGATCTGCATAATATCCATTAAATAGCGACAGCTCGGGTCTGAACTTTCCCACGAATATAATCTGTGGAGCCGATCACTATATTTATGAGTTTTTTACTCTTGTTTTTAGTGAAGATATATTCTTTTTTTCTATCCAATTAGTAAATATTTTTTTTAAACACGCAGACTAACTAATAACACTAATTAATCAAGTGATCGGGATTTGAACACATATTCTAAAATAAATTCAACATCACACAGGGTTTTTCGTATACCTACGTATAAGAGTATTGTAGCTAAACGATTAGATTTTTACAAATTGTAAGTTTTGGGTTCGTTGAAGGACTATTAGAGCTACAATTTAAAAACATTTTTACAAGATACAGAGTATCCCAAATAAATAAAAAATATTCAAGTTGTATTTATTTAAATGAAACACCCTGTATATTATTACATTTTTAGTTTCTACGATTAAAATAAAGGTAAATTTGATTAAGGTTTACCGCATTTTAATCTTACCGTTTATGAAATATTTACGTTTTTGTCATAATACTGTAACAATAATTTTAATGCTTCATTTCTCTAGGCGCATTAAAGTTTTTAAAACCAATAAATATTGTACTGAAGTTTTTCTATTTACTAAATTTTGTGTTGCAATAATATACATTATACTACCTTATACAGAGTGTCTAGAATTTTATTTTAAATAATTACTACGCTTTAAACGGCAATAACTTGTTTATTTAAACGGACCACTCTGTATATTTTACGAGAATCAGATGCACACTTTAATTGTCTATCAAATTGTATTATACCACTTTTTACTTATCTCTTCAAGTTTTAGTCGAAAATGCATTTTCTTATAATTTAGACCTCATTTATCAATATACCCATGGATTATTGACATTTTATATGTATTATTGACATTTTATATACATGAAGAACTGTACATCGTAATATGTGTCAAACTAATACATATAAGAGTTTTCCCCAATGCAATTTTTAATATATTTCCATTTAATACGATATTGTTTAACATAACTGCGTTATATCTTTTTTAATAAAGTGGAATCTTTCACATAAAAACATCTTCATTCATCAAAAAATAAAACGATGAATACTTTGTTTTTTGCGATTTCCTCTGCGATATTTTGCAATTCTAATTATTTTTTAAAAAAGACGTTTTCAAGAACAATGGATCTTCTGTTACAACATTTTCTCTTATTATTTCCATTATGCCGACGCGCAAGTGCGCTCATACATACGTATATGATGATTGGCAAAAATTAACTTATCTCAGTGAAATAAGTAAACGTAGACACGCCATTACATATGCATAAACATTAGTTTGGAGTGAAAAAATATCGTGTGAAAAATTCTTCTATGCTTATTATAAATTCTGTTTTCAACTGATATTTCTCTGAAATGTAGTGACCTTGGTAGTAACGTTGCAAGATGCAAACAAAAATATCACGGTTATATCAAAAACTTATTTTAGAACCCCTCTACGTATACTTTTTTCTCTAAGAAACCTTTTTTCACCTGGAAACCTACAAAGTTTGACTGTTTATTGTTTTGTTTACGCCACCATTCGCTTTATTCTAACGATTTTGAGGAATTTTCAATTAGTTAAGCAAGAGAAATTCGAACTGGGCGACCTTGAACTTGTCGCTAATAAATAAATTATAGTTAAATAGGTGCTATGCGTAAAGCGCGTTGATGCAATTAGTAATTGCTGCAAGAGTTCAAGTTTGGAAGTATTGACGGACAGTCAACGAACTATTTTTTTATTAAAAAAATTTGATACAGTAGGTATTTGAATTCTTTAAAAAAAACAAACTAGCGAATTATTTTGATTAAATTTAATGTCATTATCTAATTTTCTATGAATATAGATAATCTAGAACAGTGATTAACCTACGGCACGCAGAACCTATGACACGCGTTCATTGCTGACACGCGTGCTCATTGCATTTTTGATGACATGCATCTTCTAAGATTACTATTTTAAGGATATTAAATGACACTCTCGGTATTTTTTTACTTTGTTCGATAGAAAAAGACACTTCAAATAAAATGACATATCATATGTCAATTTTAGATCGGGGAAGTTAGCAACTCATTGAAAGCAGGAATTATAAAATACGATCCTGCTTGGGCTCCCAACCCAGCCACACCTACCAATTTTATAGCTCAACAATCAAACTGTTGCTGTTTTTTAAGATACAGCAAGTTTAAGTCTGATTGGTGACGTCACACATAGCAACACAATAAAAGCAGGATGGCTGAAACAAATTCCTGCTTTTGCTGGTATAATCCTGCCTCATCCAAATGACAAGAGTGGCTGGTATGAGGTTTGAAGAAGGCTTATAGCAGCCAAAGCAGAAACTTGTTTTAGCCATCCTGCTTTTATTGTGTAGCTATGTGTGACGTCACCAATCAGCTTGATGTATCTTAAAGCAACAAGTTTTGCTGGGGCGAAATTCGCAGCAGGATGCAACAAGGGTATAGCAACGCAAGCAGGAAACAGTTTTGGCGATCCTGCTTCCCATGTGTTGCCAACTGGGAAGTCAGCAACCAAAATATAAGTAACTATAGCTCAAAATAGGTAGGTGTTGCTGGGTTGGGATTTGAAGCAGGATAAAGCAGGAAACTTGGGCTACAAAGCAGCCCAAGCAGGGTCGTATTTTATAATTCCTGCTTTCAGTGAGTTGCTAACTTCCCTCATCTGTCAATTTTTGATATTTTCGCTTAAAAAAATCGTATTTTCAATTTCAAACTAGAGTGCTTTGGCTGTGTTAGAAACACTAATTTTTAGTCAAGGAGCCTTGGAAAAATAGATTTGATCGTCTAATGTTTTTTGTGTCTTGTCCTGGCCTGTTAAAAGATGCCCAAATCGTATTATTAGTATATTTGGAAAAAGTATTTTTTTAGGAATAATTTGGTACCACACACTTGGTATTTCGAGTAAAATTATCGTTATGAACCGCATGTTACATTTCAAATAAATCATATGCGAAAATGTCAAAAGTTGACATATGATATGTCATTCAATTCAGAGTGTCTTTTTCTATCGAACAAAGTAAAAAATACCCAGAGAGTGTCATTTAAAAATCAAAAGTTGTACTCATTTCCGGTGAAACAAGAAGTGAGTTTATGTCATATTAACATATCAAAATTCGTTTTTTTATCTGAAAAAATAAAAAAGTTATAGGGTTGAGCCACTTTTGAGACGCACCCGGTATATAATGTCATTTTTCGCCAGATTTTTGTGAAGATTCCATTTTACTATTGACCATAGCAGTTGCATCTTCTAGAAGTCGTTCTAGGAAATTTAGAATAATATCCAACGATTTCTCATTCCTCTTTGGTAATATTTTTTTCGACATACAGCCGAGAGTAATTTTTACCTACATTTTTTTAACAAAAAGACGTTTAGCCCAATGATTAAAAACGATAGTTAACATTTCCATTTATTTAGTTTTGTTTTTCCATTTCATTTTCTAAAGTTATCGTTTAATTTCAGCCTGACGAACCCGGTATAAAGATCATATCCGAAACGTTCCTGTCGAACTTCAAGGAGATCCAGGAATTGATGGAAGAGGACGACCTGATCCGTGCCCTGGAGACGCGGCCGCCCAGCCCTTGTGACGTCACATTCTTAAATGACAACATCCTGATCGATGGTAAATCTAGTCTGATACAGTGCACATCCAAACGAACAAAGGTGAGTCGTATGCACCAGTGCAATAACACATTAAAGACAAAGTTATATTCTAAGGCAGGCACTTTTTACGAATATTTAAAATATTCAACATTTTTACAGTAACTTACCGTAAAATTTAATTTTAAATTTTATTAGAAAATTCATTACTGTACTAGTCATGAATTCATTACTAGTATATACCATAGATGTAAATAACATCTGGGCAGCTAAATTTGATGTGTTGTCAATTCCTCGCAATTGATGGCATTCAGACTCATACTAGACATTTTCTGACAGTGGCACTAGAAACTTTCTTGTCTTATTCGAGTTTCTTATTTCAAATCTCTACCATACAGGTTAATGTTCTAAAATCAAGATGAAACAATACAAAAACAGGATTTTTCGTACTGAGCATAGCTTTATTCTGAACCTCAGAATTAGTTGAATAAATCAATGGTTTCAAGTTTCAATTAGCGCAAAGCTTCATTTAGAACCTCGCAGTTAGTACAATAAATTAGTGATTTCAATTTTACACTTTATACTCTTTAGTTTACGATCATTCACAATATTTAAGAAACACAATTAAAATCAGTAGAATATCCTAGCAACAGCTTGCGTTAGTCAGTTGTATCCACAGAGAAAGCTTAATATTTACTAAACCTTCTAATAATAAACGGCTTAATATTTAGCTTATAAAACAATCAACTTTTGATTTCTAACCGCAATTTCTCTTGACGGAAAATAATCAAAGGCAAAAATGACATTTCCCGCCAATTTTGAAGTATAATTAATTAGTGGAAAAGTTAAAAGTTTGATAACTTTTGCTACTAATTGAAAATGTCGTACGTGTACTCGATTATTGAAATAACCGACATCTCTCGATTATGAACGAGCGATGCAATTAAGTGACGAGTTCCAAGCGATGAATGCAAGCGATCCTAGAATGAAATAAATTGAAATCCGATTTTAATATGACATACTCGATAAAAAGCCGAACGAATTTTCTACATACATTGCAGGTAGCAAATTTATACGACGCCGTATATATATTTATCCGTTTCGTATCTGAGAGACAAAATTTTACGACCTACATCGACATTGCTTTGTAATTTGAAATAAACTAAATTCAAGCGAATCGCTCGACGCCGCTTGCTACTTGCGCTATTCATCACCGAAAGAATATGTGCTCTGCGCACACAACTTACTGCTTGGCGCTTGGCGTTAACGAGTACTTACAACATAACAAGCGACGCGCTACGGGTGAAAACCCGTTTTTTTTAAATACGAGTGATATTTCGCTCGAGCGATCACTCGGTTATTGCAATCGCTTGAAACTCGAGTAATCGATTATTGAAATTAAACGGGTTTTCCCATCACCAATTGCAACCGCTAATTTATTCCACTAATTGCGAGGTTCTGAATAAAGTTTTCTCCAAGGAACCCAGGTTTTCCTGACTACCTCAAGAGAAAATACAACAGCCCAAGAAATATGGGAAGCTTTCAAAAAATGCACAACAACTGCAACAGGGTCAGAAAAAGAAGATCAACCGATAAAACGAAAACACTGGTTATCGAACGAGACATTCCAGATCATCGAAGACAGAACTTCTCCACCGGAAAGGCATACATACAGAAGAAGAGAAAGAAGAACTAAAATACCCGAATAAGGCAATAAAGCAAGGAGCAAGAAGAGACAAACAACAATTTTACTCTGATATATGCAAAGAAATCGAGGGACACAGTCTAAATAACCAACCAAGAGACCTCTTCAAAAAAATAAAATATATTACCAGGGACTTTAAAGCCAGAAATTGGGCAATCGAAGATCAAAATGGAACTTTAAGAACCAAAAAACAAGACATTATTGAGGTGTGGAGATCATATTGCGAACATTTATACAAAGACAGTGAGAAATATAACTATGTCGACCACCACGAAAATTCAGAGAAAGAACCGGACATCCTTAAAAGTGAAGTTGAATTGGCCATAAACAAATTAAAATACCATAAAGCACCAGGTTCAGACCTAATGACAGCAGAAACAATAAAAGCCGTTAAAGAACCTGGATTAGAAATGCTTCATCTGATCTGTAATAAAATATGGCACACAGGAGAATGGCCCGACGACTGGACACACTCCACCATTGTCACTCTTCACAAGAAAGGGAGCATACATAAGTGCAGCAACTATCGTACAATTTCCCTCATCTCACATGCCAGTAAACTAATGTTGCAAATTATAAATGAAAGACTGAAAGCTTTTCTAGAAAGAGAAATTCCAGCAGAACAAGCAGGTTTCACCAAGGGCAGAGGCAATCGGGAACATCTTCTGAATATTCGCCAAATCATAGAGAAAGCAAGGGAATTCAACATTCCTCTTTATATTTGTTTCGTAGACTATAAAAAAGCTTTCGATAAAGTCGGATGGCATCACCTGTGGAAAATCTTAAAGGAAGTGGGGGTACCGCAACACCTTATTTCACTTATCATTCAGTTGTATCAGCACACTACAGGATCAGTTAGAATACTGGATTCAGCTTCAAAGGAATTTTCCCTCGAACAAGGAGTCAGACAGGGGTGTATATTGTCTCCTCAACTATTTAACATATACGGAGAATACATAATGAGAAGGTCGTTAGAAACATGGGAAGGAGGCATTTCAATAAATGGCCAAAAAATAAATAATCTACGCTTTGCAGATGATACAGCACTACTCGCTAACAGTCAAGAAGAGTTAATCAATTTAGTAAATAGGGTAGAAAACGAAAGCAATCGGCTCGGTCTGGAACTAAATACGCAAAAAAACAATACGTATACCTGGGATCACTATTGACAAATACAGGCACATCGGAAGAAGAGGTGAAGCGTAGATGCAACATGGCAAAGGTAGCTGTTGGGAGACTGACCAAGATCTGGAAAGACCGCCAGATTTCAAGAGCCACCAAAAACCGGCTAGTCAACTGTTTGGTACTCCAAATATTGACGTATGGCTGCGAATCGTGGACTCTCAGGCAGACGGAACGTAAGTAGATCGATGCTACCGAGATGTATTGTTATAGACGTATGCTCCGTATCCCATGGACTGAACGCCGTACAAACGTTTCCATTATAAATTAACTTAATATTACTAACACAGGCTTTCCTGTAAAATCCGACTAAAACAACTAAAATATTTTGGACATATAATGAGGAAAAGTCCGGACAATATGGAAAGACTCATAATTCAAGGCAAGGTGGAGGGACGTAGACCACGTGGCCGCTCTCCAACTCGATGGATTGACCAGATCACGACTAGCTGTAGCAAGCCAATGCACGATGTCATCGAGATGACAAAAGACAGAGGCACATGGAGAAAAATCATCCATGATGTTACGCTGACCACTACACTCCCTAATGGGGGTCAGGACTGAAGAGAGAGAATGAAGTTTATGACGACTCAGCCGGCTTTATTTCAGACGGAAATATTTCATGCGTTCTTTTAACTTTTTCACAAATTTAAACTAGCATTTAACATAATTTTTGACGTTTATTTTATAAAAAAAATACTGTGGATTGAAAGGAAAAATACAATTTTTATGTATTAGTTTCTTAGTCACAAATGATTCGTAAACAAAACTAATCATTAACAATAAACAATTGCCTAGTCGCGAGTTCGTGGCAACCAAGTGTTAGCCACCGACATGTGGAACTTTCGTTAAACTGTTGAACTTTATTCGCAGCGACCTCTTCATGCAATTTCACATTTCATAAAAATAATGTCATGATGGAAAATAATTATGGAAGCCATTATTATTTTTCGTTATTTGTTATTTACCGTGCGATTTTAACGCCTTTTTAGGTAAATTCAGAACGCAATCAACTTTATTGAATAAAATAGTGGGTTTATATAACAAAATTTTCGAGCGCCTCTCAAAATATTTCAAATTATTATATTATTTTGCAATAGAAACTCATGTTTGTAATTAAAAAAAAATAATAATAATTTGCTTGAAACCAGGGTCAAACTTTAAAATATTAGTCCACAGTCAGAAATAACAAAATAGCTAAGGAAAAAAGCTTTTAATCTAGGTATATTTAGCTTAAAAAATGCATAATGTTTGAGCCATTTGGGTGTTCGTCTAAAAAATTCATGAAAAAAATATGGCCGTTTAATCCGAAAAATACTTTATAGTTCCATATGCTTCCACAAAGTACCGGGAACAATAACATATTAGGCCAACCCTACCCGTTTGGACCTTTAAAATCTTCGGATTGATAAAGTGACAATTGTAGCTATCTAAAGGCGACTTTATAGAAACAATAACTTTTTTGGAACTACATGGTCAACGATTCTTTGGAACCATAAAGTTATTTTTCCAAGAAAGTTCTCTGCGCCACCAAATTGCCGCTTAATTGGAGCGTTGCTACACCGATCGCGGTGGTGGCGACTATACATTCCATTGGTGCCACTATAACGTTCCGCCTTGTCCTTTGAAGTTATTTTTTATTTATTGTGCATTTTCTATTATTAGTGTTTCTATATTATTCAGAGCTACATGAGGTATAGAGTATTTTACCGCCCACTCTTTTAGTTCTTGTTTTATATTGTTGGGTCTCAAATTAGTTCTCCTCTGAGATTTAGTTTCAAATGAACTAACACTACACTCTTCTACAGAAATAGCTTCAAAAATGTCTCAGTCACTACCTGATTTATGATGTTCATCACTAGGATTATAGAAAGATGTATTTTTTGTTTCTGATGTTGATGCATCGGCTCGCAGTGATTCCTTTTGTTTAATTCTTCGGTTGAAAGTACTAGAATATCTAAATTTCTTTTTATTCACCGTTGGAATTTTACAAAATTTTAATAAAGCTTAAAAGCAAGTAAAAGAAAACAATAAAACAGAGCAGCACACGATGCAATCTGAGGCAATTACATTTATTAGGGTATATTAAGTTACGGTCACTATAAAGTAGCCGTTTTTGACCCCCGTGACTTTTTAGTGGCAATGGATGAGCGACGGCTACTTTATAGTAACCTAG